CAAAAAGTGGGTGCCCCTTTGGCTCGTTGGTTCTGAGCTTCTCTTCGCGCTTCCTAGCTAGGAGTTCTGCCTTGGACCCTCAAGGTTGTACCCTTGGGTTTTGGGGTCCCTTTTTTAAGGATCCCTAAGGGAGTATAAGGGCCATATGAGGAGTATGTTAAGGGGGGAACCTTTAGGGATGCAACCTTAGGGGTGCGAGTCTGAATCCCTTGATCCTAGCAAGGTTTATAGGGGTTTTAAGGTTTAAGGGAGGAGGGTTCAAGGGGGGGTATGTAACCCAAGGTTCCCTCATACTCCCCACTACTCCCTAAGGCTCTCTAGGTACCTACCCCCATGAACCTCCCTCCCTAAGAACCCTATAAAACGTTCGACCCAGACCTGGACCTGGGCCTAGCCTTCGATTCTAAGACATCGACAGGAGACGAGGTACTGGTGCGCCACTGGAGTGGAGCTGGCTTGACTTGGTTTATGGTTTAGGGTTTAGGGTTTCAAGTTGTTTTTTGAGGTTTGGTGTCTTTCTCAACTGCATGCTGTAAATGCAATTTCGTAGGGCTTCTGAAGTTTGGTTGCGCAGGGTTTAAGGTGCATGCCTTGAAAAAGCCCGAAAACACATTGGGAGAATGCCGTCTCCTTCTAGCTTGCTCTCCGAAGCTCTCTTTTTCAGTCAACCCGATGCCGCAAAGCCCTAAGCCCCTTTGTCCCAAAAAGGGGGTGCCCACCCCCCAAAGAGTCCCTGCCTTGTACCATTATGTAGGCCATGATTCTAAGGGATCAGGTTGAAGGTGCCCGATGATTGGATACAACGTCTTGGTAGCCAAGTGGTACCCTTTAGCCTTTTTTTGGTCATGGGGTTCGCTTGTAAAATGTCCAAACCAAAACAAGGTGCCCTTCTTAGAACATGGTTACTGGGATACCAACAAACCCTAAACTTCTGTCCTAGAAATGCAATGGGGAACCAAGAACCCTAAACTTCTGTCTCCTAGAAAAGCAATGGGGAAGCAAGAACCCTAAACTTCTGTCCTAGAAAAGCAATGGAAGCAAGAGCTTAAGTCGTTCTGGGGAGCCGAAGTCCTCCGGCTCGCAGGGAAAGGGAAGGGCCAGAAGGCCTGAGATGTAAGATCGGGAAGGGTTTAGGGTTTAGGGTTTAGGGTTTAGGGTTTAGGGTTTAGGGTTTAGGGTTTAGGGTTTAGGGTTTAGGGTCTAGGGTCTAGGGTCTAGGGTTTAGGGTTTAGGGTTTAGGGTTTAGGGTTGGGTTTACTTGCAGGCTTTCCAGGCGATGTCTGGAAACTTGCGAGGCAACTCTCCAGAGGCCCCTCACTATAACAACCTCCCAAAACCCTATCCTAATTATCAAGACCCCTAGCCCTAAACCCTGAACCCTAGGCCCTAAACCCTGCTCTACAAGCCGCCCACAATTTATGCTGTAGGTAGCTGGGGGCTTTCTCTTGCTCGACGACTGGGCTTAGCCTAGGACCCGGAGTAGGCCCCAGTTTCCTTTCTTTAGGGTTTTGGTTCCCTTATCATCCCCTTAACACCAAAAAGGGTTCCCTTTTTGATTCCTAGGCTACTCCTGGGTCTAGTAGCCCTAAACCCTAAACCGTAAACCCTAAACCCTAAACCCTAAACCCTGCTTACTCCTGAGTCTAGTAGTCTGGGCCAGGACCGTACTTGGAACCATCCGCTGCGCGGTGTTCGGCTGCAACTGCGAAGAGTGATGCGGGCGAAGACAAAAGGGCAGCTCTAGTAGGGTTTCCGGTTTAGGGTTTAGGATTAGGGATTAGGTTTAGTGTTTAGGGTTTAGGGTTTAGGGATCTTCTTTTGGACCAGGATTACAAGGCGTCGTACACTGGAGCCCTTAACACACTTCATTACTAGGGCAGGCGCTGGAGCGCTTAAAACACTCCAGAACTAGGGGGCAGCGGGGAGGGCGGGGGGAGCGGGAAGGGCGGGGGCAGCAAGGGCAGCGAGGAGGAGGCATGCACTGGAGTCCTTATTAAAACACTCCATTACTAGAGGGCAGCGGGCATGGACTGGAGCCCTGAAACACCCCAGAACGGGGGCAGCGGGGAGGGCGGGGGGAGCGGGAAGGGCAGGAAGGGTGGGGGGGGTGGGGGCAGCAAGAGCAACGAGGGGGAGGCTCGGCATGCACTGGAGCCCTTAAAACAGCGGAGCCGCGGGCGTGCGCTGGAGCCCTTCAAACTGAGCTAAGGGACCCTGAGGCTATGGGACCATGGGGCCGTGGGGCCGGGAGGCCATGGGAGCGCATGGTGCAGCGAGCCAGGAGGCCATGGGGGCAGTGGGGCCATGAGCCATAAAACAATGCAAGGCATGCACTAGAGGTCTGGGGGGTGAAGGCGGTACCCAGGAGCAGTGGGTCTTCACTGACGCCGCCCCCGCTCCCGCTGGGGTCGGCGGATGATACTAGTATCTTGTTGGAATCTTTTTAATACTCTAGTACCCTAAACCCTAAACCCGAAACCCATATTATTCTTAGTATTGTGTGTTTCTTGATCTTTCGCCCTGGCGGAGGGAACTACCGCGGCTTTCAGATCATCCGTCTTGCACGAGGTGCGGATCCAAGCTGGCCAGTTTTTGTGCAGGGCTGCGATGGGGGGTTTAGGGTTTAGGGTTCAGGGTTTAGGTCACATGTATGCCTATTCGCGTGCCCACATCCCTACATATCATCCACAAATAGTTTACTTGCTTCTCTTATTCACCCTCACCCCTTCCCCAAGTGTTAAGACGTACTCATACGGCCGCAATCTCGATAAAACACAACCCAACTTCAAGCCCCCCCCCCCCCCCCCCGTGTTGTTTTTGAAGGAAGACAGGATGACGATGGGGGGGTTCGAGGACATGGACACAGAGACATGCAGAGACGCATAAAGAGCGAGAGAACGAGAGAGAGAGAGAGAGAGAGGGAGGGAGGGTTCCGAAGTCATCAGGTAAAAGCCCGCTGTACGTGCTTCAGCCTTGGCTTGTTTCAAGTTTACTGCTTAGAAGTTGATTCGGGTTTGAAGGATCTAAGTTTCGGGCTGGTCCTAAACATTCCTTTACCACCCTAAGCGCCAGACCAACAGCCTGCGCAGGCTAGTAACAATATTAGTAGTCATAGAAGATCAGTTCCTATTCGTAATTAATAGTATTGTAGTCAAAAGTCACAATGATTTTCAAAGATGCAAACCCTAAACCCTTTACCCTAAACCCTAAACCCTAAACCCTAAACCCTAAACCCTAAACCCTAAACCCTAAACCCTAAACCCTAAACCTTATAAACCCTAAACCCTAGACCCTAAGAATGACTAACAAGATGCAGGCTGCAGCGCTCTTGGGCGTCACCGGGCGCTGTGGAAGGCTTTGGGCCGCTCAGCTCAAACAAAAAAGCAGCAAATGGACGGGGGGAGCGGGTCTAGGGTTTAGGGTTGAGGGTTGAGGGTTCAGGGTTTAGGGTTTAGGGTGAGAAGTCGGGGGGTAGGGGCAAAAATGTGGGGTTTCTGGGATTCGTTTGCGGCTTTTCAAGGCTCGGCAGGGCTTTTTAAGGGCTCTTGAGCGGCTTTGGGCTTTAGGGTTTTCAGGGTTTTCAGGGTTTTGGGGTTTGGAGTTTGCAGGGGTTTGCCTTCGTCCTGGGCATGTGATGGAGACCGCCCAAAAAGCCAGCAAAAGGGTTTTTGGTTGCTGGAATGCGCAAGCATCTTACGGTAGTTACATGGTCCCTTGGGGTAAATACCCTAAACCCGAAACCACAATGTGATAAGACTCGGTTAGGCCAACAATCGCTCAAGTTCATGGGATCCAGATCCAAGCAGTTGTGCGCGCCACAAACGTCGAGAGGACTTGTCCGCACCAGCCACCGGACCATGATGACCAAAAACCCTAAACCCTAAACCCTACATAAACCCCCAACCATGGACTCCAACATGACGACTTTGGCGGCCTCATGTTCAGCAGCCACCCACTTGGACAGGTCTGATTGGCCTCCAACACCTGATACGAGTGAGGCCGGCGGGTGAGTGACTCTTTGTGGGGTTTAGGGTTTAGGGTTTAGGGTTTAGGGTTTAGGTTTTAGGGTTTAGGGTTTAGGGTCTAGAAACTTGGTAGTCCAATGGTACCCTTTAGCCGCTTTTTTTGGGTAGTTATGGGCTACCAAGTCAAAAAAAGGGGTACTGGGCTACAATGGAAAGCCTAAAGCCCTAGACGCCCTCAACCCTACTCCTGGGACCCAGTTACTTAGCAGGGGTTTCTTCGGGGGCTATTTAGGCATCGTAATCCCCTGAACTCCAAACTCACCTTCTAAACCCAGTGACCAAAAGTACCCAAATGAGGCCCATAAACCCCAGAACTCCCCAAGCAACCCTAAACCCAAGACCCTAAAGCCCTAAACCCCAAACCCCAAACCCCAAACCCTAAAGCCTAAACCCCAAACCCCAAACCCCAAACCCCAAGCCCCAAGCCCTAAACCCTAAACCCTAATCCCGAAACCGATCGCCCGTGTCGAAAAGCGGCTCGAGTCTGATTTTCAGTGGTCACCCGAAGCGCTCCCGTCACCGCAACGAGCCATGGAGGCCCCTGGGGTGTGCAGTTTAGTGTTTAACCTGAAGGGTTAAAGTTTAGTGTTTAGGATTTTGGGGTTTAGGGTTTAGGGTTTTGGAGAACATGTTACATTTTTCAGGGTTCTTCAATTCAATACGGAATAGAAGTGATATTTTCAAAGCTATCCCAAGGTATTTAGGCCCAAAGGCCTTAGTATGAAAGGTTCTTGGGCTATTTTGGGCCCAAGGGGTAAGGTTCTGGGGCCTCCTCGGGTTTGCTCAGTGGGTTTGGGGGGGATGAGGGGGGCGGGGGGGGGGGGTGGGGGTTTAGGGTTTAGGGTTTAGGGTTTAGGGTTTAATGTTGTTTTATGGTTGATGCCCGCCCTATCAGGGCCCGTAAGTTTAAGACGTACCCAACCAGGGCCCATGATCCAGATCCACACGGAAAAGGGTGTGTACTGTAGGTCGGCCATGCAACACCCAGCTCTTGCAATGCCCGCGGCATGACGCATCACCACCCCAAGGACCCCAGCGCTACGCTTGGAACCCCAACCCAACTTAACAGCCCCTTCAACGTGAACTATCCCGAAAACGCAATCCGTTTCACCCTATGTACCCTAGCAACCCCAAGCCCAGTAAGCCAAGCCCTTGCAATCCCGCAAGTACCGATAAGCCCCATGCAGCCTACAGCTCCTGCAAAACCTGCGCACAACTGCTTATAACTGTATTATTATTCTTAGTAGTAGTGTTATCATTATCATTACCCTCTAGAATTCACCTTTATGTAAACTTTCTATAAACTTTTTGTGTGGAAAGCCCCTTCAGGATGTGGAGACCAGCTATGCGGCACTGGCCCGCGACTCCCTGAAGGCCAAGGGGGGGGGGGGGGGGGGGGGGGGGGGTTAGGGTTTCGGGGTTTAGGGGTTTAGGGTTTAGGGTTTAGGTTTAGGGTTTAGGGTTTAGGGCGGGGGGGGGGGGGGGGGCGGGGTTAGTGTTTAGGGTGTACCCAAAGGTTTCGGTTCTTGGAGTTGAGAACCCGAGGTGCTGTCTCGAAGGACTGTTAGTAGTATAAGGGTGAACATCCCAAGATAATGATGTTCCAAATCCTACCCTTGCTTTCTTCAAAGTTCTCCCCCCTTTGCCTGTCCAGGCCGCCTCCATGGAGCATGGCTTGCAGACGACCGCTGTCTACTGGGAAGGTCCTCCCCGGCGTTGTGTGTTTTTTTGCCATCGATTTGTTGGGAGCCATTGAAACTCCGTCACACACAGCCCTCAGACCCATGGGACTCTTTCTCAGCATCCTGAGATGACAGCAAGTCAGCGACATCCGAGCCTGTGCGTCTGAAACCCACCGAAAACATTTACAAGTACTTATAGCTCCCTTGGCATGGGGGCACCCAACATCTATGGCTGATCCTGAACCAGCTCACCCTCCGCCATGGCGACCGGGCTACCAAGTTTTCGGGTTTCATGCTTTGTCTTACTGGCTCAAAACCCAACTTTTCAACTTTTGGGCTTCTTATAAGGTAGTTTACTCTGAAAGTTTAAACTTTTATTTCCTTGGGTTTTGGGCCAGTACGTTGTGGACCTCCCAAAAAAGAACCATGCAATGACACCCTGCAAGGCCCCAAAAACTGGAAGCCAAGGAGGCCAACAAAGCCCTGGAAGCCTTTCAAGGAAGCCGCCTCAGGTCGGGCTTATATTTCTTGGTACCCCCAAAAGGACACCAAGCATATACACTCACCAATATTAAAAGGGAACCTTATATACACTCACCAAAAACAGGAAATATAAACCCTACTTCATGTACTCGCAGGTCAGATGAACTCCTTCCGGGGCGTCTTCGGGCAGGCCGGGTGCCCCCTGAGGGCAAATCACGGGCTTGAGAAGGGCTGGGTGTCGTTAAGGGATTAGGCATCAGGGTTTAGGGCCAACGTCCCCGAAGGATACCTAGGTTCGGAATAAACTAGGTAAGCCTTTGTTTTGCGCTGACGTGGGTTTTAAGGTTGTTTTGAGAGCGTTTTTCAGTGAAGTTCATTGTGGGGTTGAGTGCCCAAAGCAGGTGCCGTTCTTGGGGTGTGGGGTTTATGGTGCGTAGTACAGGGTGGGGAAGTCTGCATCAATCTGCATCGCGTTTACGCAAGACTTGTTCAACTCAGTGTGCAGATGAGTGTGCGCACGAAAGGTCTGAAAGACCAGATGCACTTCGTGGATCAAAGTTTCAAACAAAATAAGGGCTGAGTGCTAGCTGCTAGTTTCTTCCAGTTTTTTTTTTTGGATGCCCTGCTGCCAAGATGCTGAATATCGGGTTTCTGGAGGGCTCAGGGCCTTGTATGAAATTGACAAGTCCGTAGGGAGCCTCCATGTTGGGCTCCTACTCCCCTCCCCCTAGTATTCAGCCCCCCCCAACCCCCCAATATTGAATACCCCTGTATACTTTTGTCTGACTATCATGGGGATATTTGATATTAGGGGGGGAACAGCCCTCAATCCTAAGACCTGACCCAGAAAGGCTACTGATGGCCAGAAGTCATACACCCCTAAACCCTAAACCCCAAACCCTAAACCCTAGACATCCCTAGACCCTAGACCCTAAACCCCAACAGAGAGGCTACTTATGGCCAGAAGTGGACTTGGAAGCTGGTGGATGATCGCATCCGATCGATGTGGGGCCAGGGGGCCCAAAGAGCTGATGATTTAGGGTTTAGGGTTTACCTGCTAAACAAAGATGTTGGTAATGATTCCTTTCCTGTAGAATTCGTGCGAATTCTTTAGGCCAGTCGCATATTATTACGGCCACGTGAAAATAAACGTTCGCATGCGTTCGGGAGCGTTCGGGAGCATTCGGACAGTGCCAGGCGTTCGCGCGGCGGTCGCGTGGCATTCACGAGGCGCGGCGTTCACGAGGCGTTCGCGAGGCGTTCGGAGGCGTTCGGCCTGGCATCCGCGTTCATTCGCGATCAGGAGCGACCAAAAACGCGATCGCCGTTAAAACGCATTCGCCCTCAGGAATTCGAAATAATTTTCAATGTCCTTCAATTAGTATGGAAACAGGTAGGGTCTAGGGTTTAGGGTTTAGGGTCTAGGACTGACCGGTGCTAAATCGGGTAACTTGCTAGGATAAGGTTATAGGGTTTGGGGTTTTAATGTGACTTAGCCAATTGATGAAGGTTCACTTTTTCTGGATTCCTCATTTTGTAGGTATAATAATGTTGAACTGGAGATAAAGGCCCTGTTCTAGTTCCTAGTGGGCTTTGGTGTTTTCTGGTTTAGGGCTTCATAGGGTTTAGGGATTTCGGGTTGGAATTCAGGAGTTCGACACCTGACAGGTTCCCTGCATCACGCTTCGAGTGGAGTCATACAGGGAACCTATCTCAAACACGCCCAGACACTAAGAAGCCATCAGTTGAGGTTCCGAAGGGTTGATTGAGGTCGGCTTTGGGGGTTTGGCAAGGTGAGTGCTGCGAGGACCTCCAATACAGGTCGTCAGTCCTCTAAATATTTTGAGCCGCCCTTGGCTTGGTTTGCCTGAGGTTCCCTGAACCCTAAACCCTACACCCCAATTGAACCCCAAACCCTCAACCGCTAGAACCCTAAACCCTCAAGCCCTAACACTCTAAACCCTAAAACCGTGAGTTTACATGGGGGGTCGCATTAAATCAGGGAGCCCTGAGCCTCACCCCAACATTCGCATTAAATCAGGGAGCCCTGAGCCTCACCCCAACATGAACAAATGTTGGGCTCTTCTCAGCTTTCCCTCCCTAAACCCTCAACCCCTCAACCCTCAACCCTACACCCTACACCCGAAACCCTAAACCCTAAACCCCAAACCCTACACCCCAAACCCCAAACCCCAAACCCCAAACCCCAAACCCCAAACCCCAAACCCCAAACCCCAAACCTGCGGCACCCAGGCTTGGATGCCTGCGACGTGGCAAAAGACCCCTGCGTCTTCTATGGGGTCCTCCCAGCGCGTTTCCACTGCAGACGGAAGTGTTCGACTCCAGGGTAGTTCTCTAAATTGGGGTTTAGGGTTTAGGGTTTAGGGTCCCCTTTGAGGAGACTCTTACAAAGGGTGCTGCCTTATAATGGGTCCCAAAAACCGGGACCCCTAGATAATCCTGACTCGCTCTGAGCTCCATGTAGCCGGGGGGGGGGGGGGGGGGCATTTGGCACAGCACTTTTGAAGAAGTACTGCACAAACTATAGGAGCACCTGAAAGCGCAGTCTGCCCCATACCGCGATACAGACGGGCATTCGGCACAAGGTTCGATGTCTACAGGGCCAGCATGCGTGCCAGGATCGTGGCTACTTCCGCAAGTACTATGGCGACAAGGACATCTATGCGATCGAGTGGGGAACTGAGCTTCGCAACCTGCTTGCCAATTCCTCGCCTCACTGCTGCTTCCCCAATTGTACTGGGATGAGGGCCTTCAGACCCTCGCATATTTGTTCCGCGAGCTCTTGACAGGTAAGACACCGACCCCCCGGCCCTTGAAACCACAAATTCCGTAAAGTCTCAAGTCCTCATCCTTGGAGTATGGGAGCGGACATCCTGTGTCCCTGCCAACATGAAGCTCTTTAGCTGATGGCTTTATCAGAGCTCAGAGTTTCGTGCAAGTCCTCCACGCGAGATGCATAAGTCGGATTGGCATCCTTTTCTCAAGGCCCTTTGTGGGATTGATAGAGCAATCACCCCCCCCCCCCCCCCAGCCCCGACTCCCCGAACCGAAGCCCCACCCCCCAAACCGAGGCCGACCAAGAAGAAATTCAACTTCAGCTTCTTCCCCACCGGGACGGTGGATCCGTTCAACAGGCATGGGCTGCATGGCGGGGAGCGATGCGCTAGCAAGCGCACACGGATTTAGCGCTGAGTCTGAGTGCCCCTGTACGTTTAGGGTTTAGGGTTTAGGGTTTAGGGTTTAGGGTTTAGGGTTTAGGGCTCAAGAGCTTCAGGGTTCAATAACCACATCAGCCTGGGCTAGTGGGGGTTGGTATAAACCCTAAACTCTAAGGCCTAAACCTTAAACCCTAAACCCTAAACCCTAGACCCTAGACCCTAAACCCTACAGGGATCCCAAAAGGGGCCGAAGTGAAGAGGGAGCTGACCATGGCTTCTCCCTCATTGTGCTGGGAGGCCCCCACACAGACTCGTCATCGCCCCATTCTCTTCCTCCCAAATGTGGTGAGTTTAGGGTTTAGGGTTTAGGGTTTAGGGTTTAGGGTTTAGGGTTTAGGGTTTAAATGTTTGTCCCTTTTGGGGTACCCTAAATAACAGGGGGCGCCTTAGAATCACGACCCCAAAAAGAACCATAATTTAGAGACAGCGCCATGTATATATCATCTAGCCTGCGCCCCTAGTACGCCTCCTCACCTCTCAGCCCCAACCGAAATCCTCAATCCCCAACCACACTCTGTCTGAGCACCACCCCAAAATCCTGAGCCCGAAGCCACTACGCCTAAACCCTGAACCCGAAAGACTAAACCCTAAACCCCGAACCCCAAACCCCAAACCCCAAGCCCTAAACCCTAAACCCTAAACCCTAAACCCTAAACCCTAACCCCTTCAGGAAGGCAGCGGGGGAGGTCTCCCGCTCCGACATCTTCGCGGCGGTGATGCGCAGCGCGGCCGGGGGCCCCAGCTAGGGGTTTGCGGGTTTTAGGGTTTATGGTTTAGGGTTTAGGGCTTAGGGCTTAGGGTTGAGGGTTTGGGGTTTAGGGTTTAGGGTTCAGGGTTTATAGGGTTTAGGGTTTATACGTAGGGTTGAGGGTGTAGGGTTTAGAGAGGTCCAACAAGCATCATTCGTTGATGGGCCAACGTATATAGCCCTGAGACCCTAGATTCCTAGACGCGAAACCTCAACCCCCAGGCCGAAACCCCAAACTGACTGGCGAAATGAGCAACGCCCTGAAAGCCTAGCATCTTAGGGCACAGCACCTAAACCCCCTTGACCCCAAGTCCCTAAAGCCAGCCTCTGAGACACGTTGGCCATAGAAGCTTCCTAAACCCCTTAAACACAGAAGCTCTTAGCCGCCCCGAAGACCTTGAAGGGCTTGGGGTTTAGGGTTTAGGGTTTAGGGTTTAGGGTTTAGGGTTTAGGGTTTAGGGTTTAGGGTGAACCCAAGCCCTGAGCTCCTAACCCCTAGACTCCCCCAGATTCAGCTCAGGTGGCTGTGGATGTGGACTACAAGCTCGCAACCGCCTAAGTCGCCAACATGTCGGGACCCGAGCCGTTTTTTAAATAGCAGTTTTGGGACTAGGGTTTGCGGTTTAGGGTTTAGGGTTTAGGGTTTAGGGTTTAGGGTGTAGGGTCGGGTTTAGGGTCTAACATCATGGGTTTGATGTTTTTGGGGGGGTCTTCATGAGTCTTCATTGTAGTTTCCGCATTCTAAGTAGGTTAGGGACCAAGAACACCCCCAGGTTCGTACGTGATGCGGGTCCCATGTCCCATAGACAATGCACCCTGCCAGGCATACGGGAGGGCCTTATGAACCTTGTAGATGGGCCATGATGAAACCCTACCGTAAACCCAAAACGCCTTATGACTGAACCCTATACGCCCAAAGGTTAAGCCCTACACATACCTTACGATGACAACTTACGCCAGGTCTTAGAATGTAGGGGTTCGGGTTCAGGGTCTACAGCAAGGGCCCAAAGATCTTCCAATAAAGTCCGCGTGCGACCTCTATGGAATCATCATAGAAGCTACCCAGAAAGGCCTTGTGTATTCTAATCAACAGTCCCCTTTACCACAGGAGGTTGGTGTTGGACTGAGAAGAATTCGGAAGGTTCCCTAAACCCTAAGCCCTAAACCCTAAACCCCATTGTGTAGCCACAAAGGTGCCCTAAATAGACTCTGAACTGTAGATCGAAGCCTAAGCTCTACGGGCCCCGACCCCACACCCTCAACAAACTGAACGCTAATCAGACGGGGTTTTAGGGCTTAGGGTTAGAACTCAGATGGCTAGTGCTCCTTGGCTCATCGAATCGACCTCTTCGCTTTACAGAGGGTTTAGGGCCGAACGTTGGGGGTTCTTCGCGTTCCAGAGCAACTCGAAGCAAAAACGCTTCGAGTATCACCATCTGATCCAGGCTCCCGTCACATGGCTTCTGACGTGGGTAGCCTGAGATATTGAATCCGGCAGGCTGCCAACTGAAAAAGCGCGCAAGCAGGTGGGAGTTTAATCCCCACCGCTTTGAGAGATGGGTCCACAGTATATGGGTTAGTTCGTGGGTCAAGCCAGGTCCATCCTCAGCTAACCTATGCACTATGCCCTGTTGACATTTGTTGGGTCACTTGTTGCGGCAGCCTTCCTGGATGCTGCGATGCCTATCACTTTCGTTTTTGCATAGCCCTGTGGTTTCATACACAGCCCTGAGCTCCAGTACTTCTGGCCCATAGAAGATACTGGTCCTACTCTGAGCTCGTAAATAAGCTTCCACCACTCATCCCTCAGGCCCCCCTATCTCACGCCCTGAACCCTACAGACTAGTCCACGTAATAGAGGGGTCGGAATAATTTCCAATTGCTAATAATATTCCCTTATGGCCCCTTTGTAATTACACTATTTCTAGACCCCTAAAACCCTACTATTCTATAATTCAGGCCCCTATATTAGGGCCCCTTTGTAATTATACGATGATAGCCCCCTAAAACCCTACAATTCTCATTCAGGCCCCTATACTAGGGCCCCTTTGTAATTCTACGATTATAACCCCCAAAAACCCTACAATTCTCATTCAGGCTCCTATGTTAGAAGGACTCTGGGAACACCGGAGGCTTGGGCCCCAAATACCCTATATAGCAAGCACTTTAAGGCCCAAGTACTCCCTATTCAGGTACATGGACTAGGGTTTAGGGTTTAGGGTTTAGGGTTTAGGGTTTAGGGTTTAGGGTTTAGGGTTTTTGGGTAAAACTTGGGGCCAGTTTTGAAATCAGCTTGCTTCGCGCCGGACCCACAGAGCAACGCTTGAACTTCGCCAAAAAAGAAGGAGTGGGGAGACCAGAGCGTGGCTTCTTGACAAGTATAGGGTTTAGGGTTTAGGGTTTAGGGTTTAGGGTTTAGGGTTTAGGGTTTAGGGTTTAGGGTTAGGAATGGGTATTTCCCAAGATAGGGGGTACCCCCTTATATACCCCCTAAATCGGCCTTAGTCACTTTCAGTGTTCAGGAAGGTGGCATGTCGTGAAATTCTAGGCTTGTCATGATCAGCTTAGGGTTCAGCTTGGGAGGGTTCGCCGTTCCAGGAGGAGGGTCTCAGGGTCGAAGTACAGGACGGTTTACAGTTCAAGTGGGGGTCTACGAGATCTACTCTTGGGATGAGAAGTACAGGAGGGTTTACAGTTCAAGTGGGGGTTTGCCGAAATTGGGGACCCCGAATAAAGGCACCCCAATAAGGAGCCCAAAATACCCCCAATTTCGGAAACCGCCAAGTGTGCAGCTCTTAGCAACACCTCGGCAAGAGCGTCCTTCACGTGTGCAGGGTTCGGCTTCGTACTTGAGAGCCGCGCCGTGACACCCCTGCCCACCCTAAACCCTAAACCCCAAACCCTTCAGCCCCCGTGCAGGACCCTGAGAACAAAGACGGTCCAGTCATTGCTGCAGCAGTACAAGGCCATCTGGGTGGTTCTCTACACTAGGGTCCCTTTTTGGGATCTTTGTTTAAAGAGTAAAGAGTGCCGCCTTATTCAGGGTACCCAAGACGGGCCCCTAATCTAGAGAACATGCATTTCGTTAGGCTCCCGAAACGGGCTTGCTCCGCCCAAATCAGGATTTGTGTTTCCCATTACGGGTTTTCTGGGTGACTTAGTGAAACTCCTCTAGGGTCTAGGCCGCTTCTATGCAAAGGGCAGACCGGAATAAGGGTCCAGGTGCGTTTATGTGGAGTTATTCTTGGGCCAATTTCTGGGACCACCACCCCTCGGGGGAACCCTAAACCCTAAGCCCTTGTAAACCTCTAAACCCTAAACCTAAACCCTAAACCCTAATGTAAACCCTAAACCCTAAACCCCTTAGCCCCTAAACCCCTAAATCCTAAACTAAATGCTTTGGGGTTGCACTTCAGCCCTTGGACTCGCGGAAGGTGGGGAGTATTGGTGTACTGGCTTTGGACTGCGAAGGCCGGGTATTGAGAGCTCCCGTGGTGCCCAAGTCACCCCGGAAAACCTAAACCCTAAAACCCGAAGACCCTAAACTTTCCCATAAACCCTAACCCCCAAAACCCTAAACCCCTAAACTAAAGCCCTAAAGCCCAAAAGCCCTAAACGCTCATAAGGCCCTGAAGCACGCAAAGGTCGAAAAATCTAAGCTTGAGCGCCACAACGCCATTTGACGTTCAATCCTACACACACCCTGAACAGGAGAGCCCCCCCCCCCCCCCCCAGACCGTATGTTTGCTGCTTTGGTTTGGGGGGAGGGTGGGGGTTAGATTCCCTTGCTTCCTTGTTCATGATCTTCCAAAGTATCCTTAAAATCAGGGAGCATTCCCTAAAATTCTACTAAGGGGCCTACTGCAAGTTCGGAAACTTTCTCTGGGACGGTTTATAGCTTCGCGAAGTGTTGCAGTTCTCCAGCAAGCAAGGCCATGGTGTGATCTCCGATTTTTGTGTCAGGGCCTCTACACCCTAAACCCTAACACCTAAACCCCTAAACCTGGTGTTCCTTCTGATCCTAAGCCCTGAACCTAGCACCCCCAAACCCTGAACCCTGAACCCTCAAGTGCACAAGGTATCTAGTTGGGGCCAAAGCACCAAAGCCCTGAACGTTAGGCTGTGGGGTTTGGGGTATATGGGGGGGGGGGGGGGGGGGGGGGGGGTTCCGAAAATAAGGTACCCGTAGTATAGATGATCCCTACATAGTAGGATTCTCATATAGCAAGGACCCCAGCAAGGTACCCCTAGTTTCGGAAACCCCCCATATGGGCATGTTCAGGTCAGCTTAGTTTTCCTCCTGAATCACCTCGAAACCCCTGGTTCTTAGTAGGGACTGAGGGAATTTCGGGCCCTACATACACCCTTTAAGGGATCATACAGGGTATCTCATTCCCCTCCTACATAAGAACCCTAAAAGCCAAACCCTAAACCCTAAACCCTAAACCCTAAACCCTAAACCCTACTGAGAACCAGCCAGTAAAGGCCACGACTGTTCCATTCTCCGGGGCCTCATGACGGCCTGTGAGGGTCGGCGCGAGTGGTGCCCCTGAACCCTATTTGTATTGTGCAGGGTTTAGGGTTTAGGGTTTAGGGTTTAGGGGTTTAGGGTTTAGGGTTTAGGGTTTAGGGTTTAGGGTTTAGGGTTTAGGGTTTAGGGTTTAGGGTTTAGGGTTTAGGGGAAAACACGCCCTTAACTCCCATCCCCTAAACCCTCAATCCTGAGCCCTAAGCACTAAGGTTACTGGCCTGCAAGGTTTAGGGTTTAGGGTTTGGGGCTTAGGGGTTTTTGGGCAAGTGGCTTCAGAAAAGTGACTTCCGAAACTCTGGGACTCTAGGAAGAAGACCTGAGACCTCCACGACAACTCTTGTCTTAGTAGCTTAGCGTTAATCCTGATGAGATCTGAAGGTCCCGAGACCCTTAAGCCCTAAGCCCTTGAATCCCAGACCCTGAACCCTTGAATCCTGAACCCTGAGCCCTTGAATCCTCAACCCTGACGCCCGGAATCCTGAGCCCTTGAACCCTTGAATCCTTGAACCCCAAACCCTACCCTAAGCCCATGAGCCCATGAATCCATGAATCCTTGAATCCATGAATCCTTGAATCCCTGAATCCCTGAATCCAGGAATCCTTGAATCCCTGAATCCTTGAATCCCTGAATCCTTGGATCCTTGGATCCTTGAATCCTTGAACCCTTGAATCCTTGGATCCTTGAATCCCAAAACCCTAAACCCCAAACCCCAAACCCCAAACCCTAAACCCTAAACCCTAAACCATGAATCCTTGAATCCTTGAATCCTTGAATCCCAAACTGTAAGATCCTGGCACCAGAGCCAGCTCTGCGCCTTCCTTGCGAAGCCCCCTGCACGTTTCAAAGTTCAGCAAGCTTTAGGCTTTAGGCTTTAGGCTTTAGGGTTTAGGGTTTAGGGTTTAGGGTTTGGGGTTTGGGGTTTGGGGTTTAGGGTTTAGGGTTAGGGAACCCTGTGTGAACACTTTTCTATAGCCTTCTTGCTGATTGCGGGCTGTTCTGGCTCACGGCAGAGACATTGCTTGTCGCA